GGGGGGGTCCTCTCTGAAACTAATTTTCAGGCTCTTCTCACACCGAAGGCCGTAAGTAAATTTAAGGTTCTTATGACTTTCAAGGGGAAATGGATGTACCTTTCTCTCTGTATCTCTCTTTCGTTGATACCTCTTCTTCTCTCTTCAATTTCATCTGATGGGTCTAGTCGACGAAAGACGGCATTCAAATTGGCTTTAAACAGTTTAAAAAAAGGGGGGGGGGCTGGCTCCTATTTTCTACGAGCCTATGTCTTTCCAGCAAAAAGGGAGGTTCCGTAGGAGGAGGGGGGGGGGTCTGCTCCGGGAAATCTGGGAATTTTGAATCTCTCTGAAATGCATTATCAGCCTCCTCTCACTGTCTCTCACTAAAGGCCGTGAGCGAACTTGAGGTTCTTGCGAATTTTAAGAGGCACGGAATTTCGCTCTTTATCTCTGTCGTTTATCCCTCTTCTTCTCTCTTCAATTTCATCTTATGGGCCTGATCGACGGAAGATTGCATTCTAATTAGCTTTAAACAGTTTGAAAAACCTAAGGATTAACTCTACCGAAGATCATTGGAACTATTTCAGACATTTTTCTGTCTTCATAAACAATGAAATGAGAAAATATAGAACAAGAATAAAGCTACTTCCACTTATGCAGATAATCTGGGACGACTACAGGATATTGCTCCATATTCTAGCGGAAGGGAGTGTGCACATTTTGTTACAAAAGCCTAGAAAATCAACTTTAAACTTTCCCAAATTAAAATTTAATGAATTCGAGGATAAAATGTAAGGACATGAGGTAGCAAAGGAGAGAGAGAGAGAAGGGGATAAGAAAATCAAGAATTGGGCACACGTGAAAATTATTCGACGCTAGTCTCAGAAAACGCTACTGCTAACTAAGATTAAGCTTGATACAATAGAACTTATCTGATCCCTGATCAAGTCAGGAACAAGAGTTAAAAACATATTTCCCGTAGGTACTTAGGGTCATGATGATGGTCAGTTCCAACTATAAATCTAGGAATGGACAAAACGCTGATGGAGACGGCAAAGATGAACAGATTATTGTAAGTGTATTTCTATATAATACTCATTGTACTTAGGTGCCTATTTTAGAAAAAAATGGAAAAATTATCATAATAACAATTAGACTGTATTTTGTCCTGAAGTTGGACGCATAATTATTTCAAGGTGGAATGATTTCTGTTGCTTACCGTACCTACTTAAAAGAATTTTTTTACTCTGTTTTTCATCGCACTAGATGGTTGTAAAATTTCCAAGGAAAACCTGAAAAATTTCCACCTGTTAAATTGAAGTAGAGTGTTAACAGACTTTGACTAATGGCAGTTTATTCATAAGTCTGGAAACCTCTAATTCTTACAAATTCAGTTCATTCCTAATCCTGATCCACTGATGTCAGACCCGGAATTTTCTACTAAATTCTAATTGGAGTAACTAAAAACTGGACAGCATTTTGCAATTTGGACCTATAAATTCTGGCTCATCTGAAAAAACACTTATGTGCATAAGGAAACTAATGGCACATACGTTGTTTATAAGCCGGGCCGGAAAATATAGTTCCTAATTGCAAAATGTAGTCCAACTGAGCTTATGAATATGGGCAAAAAGAGGCGCTTAAGTAAGTCTAGAAATTTTGGTAAATGATTGCTCAGTAAATTCGTAGAATTCAGTTTATTAACTCCGACATCTTGAAATGATTCTCTCATGAATAATGGTGTCTGCATGTACAGTACAAGACACTTATCTGGTATGGTGAAATAAAATGAGATGACAGCAGTACCTTACTGAAAAATTAATTTAGAGTACCTAAAGGTAAGGAACCAAATTGCAAGATTCGTATGTATGTACCTACTCTTGGCGTTTGGGAGCGGATTCTAAAAAGGTCAGGCACAATAGGCGGAAATTAGGATAGAACGTAAAGAGAAAGGTGAAAGACGACGAGAAAAATTTAGGTAGAATACACCTAAAATGAAAAATACATACAATTTGCAATTATGACACCAAATCTGGGCAGAATCTGTGTAAGATAAGTGCTAGATCAAACCTGAATCCAGACCAACGCCGAAGTGCAAGAGCATCAAAGGAGGCTGTGACCAGATTATCGAACTCCACCAAATGGTCAGGAAGAATTAAACCAATTAGCCGTGGTAAATTGAAAGAAGGAGACACTGACACGATTAAAACGCGGAGCCGATATATTAGGAAAAACCACAACGCACACATAGAAATACGCAATCGCGAGGAACGAAATCACTCCCGAAATCCCACGCAACAGGTCGGTGAACCACAGAGAAAATCCGAGCAAAATTCGTTTAAAATAAAGAGGTTCACATAGAAACACCCGAAACACGGAAACTACGAAACCGATGAAAGTACTTTCAGAGGATCAATTCCCCACACTCAATTCACTCAAACGCGGTGAACAAGAGACTTCACGAAAAATTGAAATACTGTCCGCGGCGGCCATCATCCAAATTGAAACACACGATCGTTTCCGTACATGTAAATCGCCGGAATTTTCGCGAAACACACGGGGTAACACGACACGCAAGTCCATGATAAACGAAGAGAGTGGATAAAAGTTTGGGGTATCAATTACCCACAGTCAATTCACACAAACGCCGACCGGGCACGAATCGATGAATCTCGAGAAAGTGAAGGTGACGGAAACGTTAACGGTCGTTTTCACATACATCACCGAATAGTTTTCGCGAACCGAGCGAGGTAACGAGACACGAACTGCGATAATTTGGACGAATCACTCGGTAAGAAGTGTTCAAGAGTCACAACACTTTTCATAAGAGGAAAATTACTGAAAGCCATGAGGCTGCCCTCCGGCCACGCGCGAGGAGTTCAACCAATTTGGGCGACCGCTGACCGAACAATGAGGGACTCCGCGTTGCACGCTTTGCAAGGAGAGAGGGGTGCGGAGTCTCCTACTCCCGATCTACACTGATTCTGATTGGCGCACGCATGGTGACTTCGACGGAACAGTGGAACAGTCTGTAACCTGTTGGCGTCGAACTGTCGCGTCGCATCCGCCGGCTTTTGGTTTTCCTTTGCTTCGAGAACTGATAAGCGAGGTTTTGCTCGACTTCAGACAGAAATGCAGGTGTTCGTTCACCCTTCCCCAGACAACCATGCACCGAACGTTGAATTAATTCCCTGCATGAGACCACCTCTGTGGTAGCTCTGAACTAGCAGATAACATGTATTTTTCGTTTGTCAGGCTGTGCAAAAAACAAGAATTGGATTGCATTTTGCAATTTGGAGCTATAAATTCTGGCTCCTCTGGAAAAACACTATATCGACGGTGAAACTACCAAACCACGTATCTCGTTTGCGGTGTTTAAAAATCTCCGCTCACATTTTATTTTTTTGAAGTAGACCAAATCAATATCATTCCTTGAAATTTTCACAGAATTTTCTCCGCACGAAGAGGAAAAATCACGGAAATTTTCAAGACTGGACGTTAAGTAGCTTTTCATTTAAAAAATAAAGTATGACAGGAAGTCTGCGACGTCGCAAACCGAGATACGTGGTTTGGTAGTTTCACCGTCGATATGTGCATAGGGAAACTAGTGGCACTTACGTTGTTTTTAAACCGGGCTAGAATTTATAGTTCCAAATTGCAAAATGTAGTCCAATTGATATTTGATTAATTCCTTGATTATCATTACACGGGAAACTATATCTACGTGTGTAGATTCTGGTGTATTTAGAAAATAAAACTCTAATCTCGATTGCAGTATTTTAAATTGAAAATAAATTAAAAAATCAGCCTGTAAAGATACCAAATAGTAACATCCATACACTGACATCCGTAGATCTAAGGCCGGTTCTATCAACTCTGGCTTTTGACCGCTTGTCACAGCAAAATTTCCAAAGCTACTTTTGAGGACTTTAGGGCTTTTATTATGCCTACCTGTACATATCGATAGGTAAAATGCGAAAACACGTACTTAATTTCGTTTCTGACATACTACACTTTTTCTTTGGAAAACTAGTCAACATACTTAATTCTTGAAAACTCCCTTAGTTTTTTTCCCCTGTTAGCATTATATTTCGTGTTTTCTAACCATTGATTTGGCTTGATTCTCCTCGAAAAAGTAAACTAGGAGCGGAAATTTGGAAACGCCGCTATGGAGATACGTGGTTTCGCTTTGCGCATCAAGTTTCATCAGTGCTCATCGAGAAAAATGGGTTTGAAGTTTTATTCCTCTTTGAAACTCAATATAAAGGACAAAGTCTAAAAACTAATTTCACGTTCAAAATATTTTTCTTGCCTCTAGATTCTTGAACTAAAAAAGTCTCGACTGATTAACTCTAAAAATACTTCAAACTCATTTTTCCCAGGCGTCTCTGTCACGCTCGGTCCGAATGACGGCAGATTTTTTTAG